TAGGGATGAGATCGGCGTCGGAAGTGTATATAACGTTTATCGAACGATCGGATAGAGAACTGAGCTGGAAGAGCTTCAACATATGCAAAGCAAGCATTCTTTGATCACAGACGATCGTCTGCATCCGCATCCAAGTATTATTACATTCTCGGACCCATTAATTGTGTCAAAATGATACAATGTCAAGAACATCACAAGTCCCAGTAAATGCCATATATATATATATATATATATATATATATATATATATATATATATATTTCAACCATTCACAAATTATAGAAATGTGGCTTATATGATCGGAAGGGATAGCACAGTACAAAAATGAATGCGTGTTTGCTCTATCGAATCACTCAGAGGCGTAATTTGCTTGGCATTCTTTACGTAGGAACCGATTTTTCAAGCCATTGTATTTGAACACCCCACAAACTCCCATCGGTGCTTCGTCATCGTTCTTTCTCCCGCCACAGTTGAAAGAGAGAGTAGATGAGATATAAAACATCATGCTAATTGCATTTCTTACACCGACTTGTTTGGTGGTCTACGACTTTCTTGGCTCCTTGTTGAGGACGGGATGCGATCTAAGATAAGAAAAAAAACAATGTAACAAAGAGAACGGGTTTGTTTGTGTTTTCTTTTGTGAGAGTCCAACATTTCCGCATCTGGCAGAATCATGCAAAGTTTGTGTTCTGCTTACAAGTAAAGAGGTGCGAAAGCTCGGAAGCAAAGCATTCGAGCTGATAGAACAAGCCAAATTCTAATGTCGAGTCTCGAGGTGAAAGGGTCAGAATTTTCCCGGAGATGATCACTAGGTAAGTGGGTGATCCAGTGCAGCATGGTCAATGGGTCTTTGGAATATCAGCAATCATTCATAGTCGTTGTTTTACTCTTCGTTGTGATTTGACAAGATGAGAGGTGAGTCGAGCTTTCGATGCGATTCAAGCGATAATAATAATAATAAAACATGCCAAGTTCTGATGCCTAAATCCCCCAGTTAATGCCTGGTGACGGTCTCAGGTATTTCTCAAAACCTGGATAGGTTCATTGCATCACAGTCACGGTGGGAAATGATCGAGCGTGCTGAATTGAATACTTGTTCGAATATTCGACTCTCAACATCTCATCTGTTGTATTGCCATCTTATCTTTGTGTTCGGAACGCGTAGGTATTTCCCACATTTCATCTTATACTCTTCACGTTGATTGACGGAAACAGCAAGGAAGAGCATATATAGAAAATTAATGGGCATTCGCTAAACATCTTGCACCCGAGCAGAAGAAAGAAAGAAAGGGCTCAAGTCCTTGCCAACCAATGGCTCGCTCGGACCTATCAAATTAGAATACGATATCAGAAGGTTTTCGTTTACTTAAATTACTTGACGACGTTTGCGCAGAAGAAAGAAAGGGCTCAAATTAGAATATGATATCCGATCATTTTCGCGTTTCAATCATTTAAGCTTTCTTGTTTTGTCTCTTTAATGACAGAAGGAACTAAAATTTCCATGCAGAAGCATACGTCGAACAAGTTTCAGTATTCAAGTTCCTTGTTCGACAAGCGAACCAGGAGTCAAGGCATCCGGCTGCCGCAGTGGATTTTTGCGCAGAAAATAAGGCAACACGAATTGCTCTCAACTTCCTCCTCATATCCTCAATTATGATACCACGATTACATACTAAAGTTTGGTAGTATAGAAGCATTGGCTGATAAAATTTCATTGGCTATTAACTGGTCATTGCTACCAAGATATAAAGATGTCAAGAACGTGATACTGATGGGGCAGAAGGGTCGATGTTGGATGCACCAAAATGACATATAGTCCAACCAAAACTTTCATGAACCTGAGATTGGTGGTAAATCCAGGTTGGAACTGAGGGACTTGTCATTGGCAGTCAAAGGTCGTCATCGGCTGAATTAGTCAGCACACTGCCGTGCAGAAAACATACTCTATCAACCGGCTCACGATTGAACAGTAGCTCGGGGCCTTCTATATATACATCCCGATTCCTGAAGCCAGTCACAAAGAAACTTGCATCGTTTCATCTTGCTTGTTCGAAGAGAGTGCAGATGGCTGCTAGGATCATCCTCCTTTCTGCTCTTCTTGCCCTGGCTTCCTCTCATGCATTGGCATTTGATCCGAGTCCTCTCCAAGACTTTTGCGTTGCTGACTACGACTCCAACGGTAGGCATCGTTATCGTCGTGTGTGTGTGTACTTGCTCGAGTTGCTAAAGCCTGTTCATCGTGCATGCTGCAGTGTTTGTGAACGGATTCGCCTGCAAGAATGCTAAGGCTGTCACGGCAGAAGACTTCTACTTCACCGGCTTAGACAAGCCCGCGAGCACCGCCAACGAGCTGGGCGCAAACATCACTCTCGTCAACGTGGAACGACTCCCAGGCCTCAACACCCTCGGCGTCGCCATGTCTCGCATCGACTACGCGCCCTTCGGTCTCAACCCTCCTCACTCGCATCCACGCTCGTCGGAGATACTGCACGTGGCGGAAGGAACGCTCTACGCCGGCTTCGTCACGGCCAACACGGAAAACGGCAACCTTCTCTTCGCTAAGAAGCTGAAGAAGGGCGACGCGTTTGTGTTCCCCAGGGGCCTCATACACTTCCAGTTCAACATCGGGGACACCGATGCGGTGGCGTTCGCTACCTTCGGCAGCCAGAGCCCGGGTCTCGTCACCACCGCCAACGCACTGTTCGGATCGAAGCCGCCCATCCCTGATTACATTCTTGCCCAGGCCGTGCAGCTTAGCAAGACGACCGTGGGCTGGCTTCAGCAGCAGCAGTGGTTGGACATCGCTCAAGAATATGGACAACGCTTAGTTCAAGCTAATTGATTAAGATCCTCTCAGATGCCATGCATGCATGCATGCTTTAATGATGTCATATGGTTTATGCCTATAATAAAATAAAGCTTGTGGTATTAGTGAATCTTCATGCTTGTATCTTTAGACTTTTTAAAAAAAAAAAATTTAAGCTCAATAAATTGTGATAATCTATCAAGTTTTCGATAACAAACGTCTTCAAAATAAAATATATCGGATCCAATCTTTTGTAACAAAATCACATGACCTTAATCAACTTCAAACTTCCACTATCACCGAGAATGATAGTAAATTTATAATAAATCTTCTCTAAAATAATCAAAAAATCATAATAACATAAAAAACAAACTTAATATTAACATATCATCATCTTTAAAGATGAATTTTCTGAATTTTCAACGTAAAAATTTTGATGTCTCGCTTTGTAATTGATTTATTGTTCCATTGTTTATCCTATCCTGTTCTAATTAATATTTACTTTTGATAACAAAATAATTATTCCACCATAATAATTTTAATACACAAAGAGAGAACAGGTTAGAAATATCTACTTAAGTAGACAGTGGTGTGCCTAAGCACTTGGACTTACGCCCCTAAAAATGAAATTGCAATTTTAAGGATTCAAGGTAATTAATTGCCATTATCATGCTGCTATGTGCCTGCTTTCTTACTGTAACCATCAATAAGTCCCATTTCTGCGAAATATATGATCCGTTCATTGATTCTCTCAACTTGTCTAATATCAGAAATGACATAAATCTTGCACCTTGAGTGGTATCAACTTTTTGATGACAAACCCAATAGCAAAAGACTACTTACATCCAACATATGATCCAGAAAAGGAATCCCAGTATTGCAATTGGCAACACCAGAACCATCCAAGTTTATGGTTACATGAACACCCGCCTCCTTTGTGACTCTTTTAACATCTCCAATGCGACACACTGTGAAACTCGACAATTTATTTTAGAAAATAAAAAAAAGGTTTCAGTCAAGCAGATAACAAGAGGCATTTACTAGGAAACACATATGACTGTGTCCAATCCAACGAAAGCCACCCCACAATAACAGCAAAGATTTACCTTAGAGAGAGAAAACAGAAAAGTTGTCCATGGATTTTCTTAAAGAATTTTATTTTCGTGTACAAAACCATTGGAAAAGCACAAGACATGGTTTCTCGACGAGGGTCAGAATGAACCAAATGTCGAAATTTGGGTTTCCGTTGATTGACTAACCAAGAAATACGCTCCACTAAAAATCGAAATGCCAAAACCAATTTCCAATAAATTATCATAACAAGAGCAACTTGCATCCGAATGCATCGATCGAAGCCGTTGCCCAAGCACGAACTTGTTCGTTCCAAAACAAGAAAGGACGCCATGAACCAATCGCAGATGCCAGCGACTCAACCGGGTAAAAATTTATGTCACGCAAAAACACGACGAAAAGAACCAATCTTGGAAGAAAAGACCGCCAAGGGAGAGTAGGTACCTGATTTGGGCGTCGCGACGGGAGCGCCGTTCTCTTGCGATGACAGGACAGCAGCCATCGATGGCGGAGCTCGCCGGGACAATCGGAGAGACCAGACCCTGCGAAAAGTCGGATTGGGAGCCCCAGATTGGTAAGTGGTGAAAAACCTAACCCTAGATTTTTCCACGGTTTGGAGGAGACGAGTTGCGCGAAGGGAATTAGGGCTCAGACATTCCATGCGCTCTCGCAAGCGGCCCGTTCCCACCAAATTAAGTTGGTGCGGTAGGCAACACAGCCTGCGTATATATATATATATATATATATATATATATATATATATATATATATATATACTAATGCATGAATTGGCTCAATAGGTTAACCAATGTACATTTTTTCATAGGTAGGAGTACTTATGAATTGGCTTTCAATTGCAAGAATGTGTAGCATCACATCCAAAGTCTTGATTACAAGGATGTTCTAATTACATGTTGCCTTTGGGTCTATTGTGTAGCCCCACTAAATGCATGCATGTATGTATAGACCCAAGTATAGCTTGTAGCACTATTCCACAAATTTACATTACTGACTATTACTGACTTGAGTGCTGGGCATCCTCTATCATATCTCCTACTAGCATGTAAAAAAGTACACAAGAATGCTTTGACTGAGAAGAATGATTCAAGCAATGGTGAACTTAACATCTTTAATAATAAACTTCTCTTCCTGGGATACTTGCATGACCAAGAGATCACCCCCTACACCATGATTGGACATAAGATTCATTGAGTCCATGTAAAGTTCAACAAGTACACAAAAGATAGATAGTCCAAATCACATAAGAGAGAAATAATATAGCAAGGATAAATATCAAGATATGGCAGAAAATGTAACACCAGTAGATAACTGATCAAATCATTGTCTACTTTATTCCAAGTAGGGCAAAAAACACATAAAAAACAGCCAACCAGGCTGAGCATGGTTGATATGAGGGAGTAAGAGATTGGGTCCCTGGGAGATAAAATTTCAGTTTTAATCAAGCTGCAAGTAATTTGTTCAAGATGTACTCACTTGTGCAACCCATTTGTGGAGGAATATTTGCTTTTCAAAATAATCACTGAAAAAGAAGAGGGGAACAAAAAAGAAGAAGATATTTTCTTTGCCTTTTCAGAGGAAGTTCCTAGCTAGGTTTCAATCTTTTTCCCCTCACGTTGATGGTGGACCACAGGAAATGTACAGTATGACCTAACAAAGTGTCCTGTTGTGGTGGATGCCATCATCAATGTGAGGAAAAAAGAAAAAAGGAGAGAGAAAAATCTAAGCTCACACCCCTTTTTGAACTGAGACACAGCAGTTGCACCCAATTTGTTCTGCACACCAAAGGTTGGATTCAACAGGTTCCATCATACACAAGATTTCAATGTCAACTAGTTAACTTCAACTAGTCCATTAATCTGTCTTTGATCAATGAAGCATACTGCATTCATCAATCCATAAACATCTATACTTGTTGCGATGCACATTCAACTTATTAAATGTATAGCTACACAAGGTGCTTAATAAGGATATGATATAGACAGACAGATTCCTACACATTTTACCTAATCTTAAGTGCTTCTGTAGACCTTTGTATTAGCTCAACCATCCAACAAAAAACTAGTGTTAATTTAAAGCAAGATTTTCGTCAAAGACTCGAACCCATCTAGTCAAATTTTCCACACCATAGCAGATAGCATGCCACAAAATTATATACTCTATCACCTATTTTTATATCTAATCTGTGGGTTTTTATTGCACTTGACAAAGGAGTGTGACAAGCATTTCTCTTGTATTAAACATGTGTAATCCTGTTGCCAAATTCAACCCATCAAAGTGGTGTAGAATTTATTCCATACTAAATTAATGCACACCTTCTAGGCCTCCAGTGCTCAATTATGAACTTGATTTCTTGAACATGAACAAACTAGATGGTCCTAGTGTTCACAAAACATGCTAATTATGTAAACAGTTGGAGAAGACACACATAAGTTACAGACCACCATTAAGCCATGACACTGATTGATGAGTTTGTGCACCAGTTGGCTAACTGATGGAACTTGTGCATGTGCTAAGTTGCTTCTTTGCAGAGTTGACTGAAAGCTGACAATTTATTGCACAAAATATTATATCTATATGTGGACGTAAGATTATAACTACAATAACTGATGTGATTATAGAACAATGAAAGGTTATGGCCATGTCGAAAGCAATTATCAGGACTACTGAAACATGGCATTTTTTTTCCCAGAGCAGCTTCTTCTGAGCCCAACCAAGAAATGTAATTTTTTTTACCTGGCAAAAAATCTGGAATTTATACAACATTTTTGAGTTAATACATTTTATACAAAATTATAAGCAAGATACTAATACAAAAAAGACCTGTTTATTTATATTGTTAATACAAAACAATATATCCCAAGGAAAAAAATGCATTTATACTCATAAACAATATTTTGAAAGAAATATATGCATACAACTGAATTTTTGGGTGGGATAAAGAGGATGCAATCAGGTTTGCTATTTGGTCATCCACCCCACAGAAAATGAAAGAATCATTTAAGACTCTAATTAACAGACTGTTATGGGTCAAAATCCAACCAACCACTCGGAATCACGTTAATGTCATGAAAAATATCAGAAATCCAAAGGTCATCACACAGTTATCAAGGCCCTTTATGGCTTGAATAAATGGGTCCCTCAGCATTGAATTACACCCTAATTATATTGTCGAAATCAATCCATTTGGGACAGGTGAGGAGCCAACCACCTCTCCACCCCATTGTGCAGGGGCACCATGAAGGTGCTCGTTTATGGTGGTCGCTTTACAGAGTTGTGATCCGACTTAATTGCTTGCAGCTCTGTTCTTCGAGTATGACATGTACTTGACTTTTATTTCTCACATTTAAGATCCAGCCACATACGTCATGTATATAGAAATACTGTCACTGAGTGTTGCATGCATGAATAAAAATATAATCCAAGATGCTAACCGATTTTGGAATGCTATGTTCGATGAACTGCCATGTGTGATGGAACTGTTTTAATGACAAAAGCATTTTTGACAGTGAACAGAGAAAAGCCAAGTACGGATAATCACAAAATCCAATTATCAGAAAAATCAACTAAGTTTTCTAGTGAATCATTCAGCTAAGCAACATTTATTTAGGAACAAATATAATCCGCAAGTTGGAATGCTATGTGCAACGGTTCTGTTTAAATGATAAAGAATTTCTGTCAGAGACACAGCAAAAGATGATCACAGGACACAACACCTTCGGATCAATGATCAGAAGAATCATGCGAATTTTATAGTAAATGATTGTACCGTGCAAAACTATTTTGCAACAAATTCCACAAGTTGGAATTCTGTGTGAAATGGATCAACCTGCTTACTAGATAGCATCTTTACAGCAAAAGATATTCATGGGACCCAAAGACATGCGACCAATGTTGAGAAGAATCATGAGAGATTTCTAGTAAATCATGGTGCTATTATGAATTTTATTTTAATCATTGCTATTATAAATGCCAAAGATGAGATATCAGATTATCAGAAACAACATACAGATAAGTGAAACACATATAAATCAAGTTTTACCTTTGTGTCATCTCTACTACTGCAGCATTAGCGGTACTGTAATCGAATGAACCTGTCTCGAAATTTTAACAATTAAATCATTACACAAGAATGAAGTTAAATATCACATTAATAAAAGACTGCTAATTGATAAACAACAAATTGAGCAATAACATTGTCAACAACCTTTGCATTATGGTGATTGCAACCTCTGCTTTAAAGCCAAACTTTAAACATGATGAAACAAATATATTTGAACGATGATGACATTGAAAAAGTCTATCTCACATATTTATTTTATTATTTTGTACAATTAAACAACTCAATTCAACTTAGTGACAAAATTTCCCCTTGTCTTACTTAGTAGGACTCTCCCTTTTCCCAACTAAGACTTGTCCGGTAAATTTGTGTCACGCGTTCTTTAGAAGAAAAGTTACTGTTTCATGATGATCAACAAAAAATCCATTTGCATTTAGAACAGTTATTATCCGCTATATTCTCATTTTTCATTGCAATAATTTTGTTTAAATTCCTTCTCAACCGTCTCATCTTATTCAAACAAAATTTTGCTGCTCACTCTATGTTGATGATCACCTTTGAACTACACGTTCTAAACACCAATTAGATCCAACCACCACCAAACTTAAATTTGTGCCGCCTTCATGGCCTAACTACCAGCACGGCCCTGATGATAACAACCATTATCATCATGTTTTATGATGGTTACAACCAATCAATGACGGCAGTAATTATGCTCATGCCACTATTACAACCATGAAATATTGTTAGTAACACACAACAATCTATTTTCTAAAACTCAAATGGCCTGACACCCAGACCACCCATTGGACAATGAGAATTATACCCAAAAACAAATGTTTGACTATTTTCATTCGACAGAAATCTTAGCGGTTAAAGGCACTGCCTTACCTTTCAAATCATACGCAACTTTTAAATTTTAGTTACCACTGTACACCCTGTACCGTACAACTTTATGATTTCCTGCACTACAACCTTCTCTGTATCATTATGTTGAATGCTCGTAACACCTACAATTATTCCTAGACTACTTTGTTACCATGAATTGACGCAATAGTTTCACGCATCCAAGAAGTGAAACATCAGTTGGATGCAACTTCAATAAAAGGTTTCTTTTAGCGAGAGGACCACACATTCAAAAGGTATTGCACCAAGTATGCTTCACCAAACTTATCTGCTTCCCCTTCCAAGGATTCATCAACTGATGACAAAATCTACCATGTAATCAATAAACACCATTAATCAACAGGATCTGTGAGGCTTACCCAATGATGTCCTTTGTATCTTGCATTAATTGACACTTTTAATGAGTCCCCATACTCAGTCTTCCGGAAGCATTATTTATTAGAAAGGCGGCTTGTATTTTGTATGGCCCTGCAAACTCCTTCGGGACATTAGTTTCTTTTTTCTTCTCTCTTTTTTTCTCCTCAATTCTCCTAAATTCTCTTACCTTCTCCTTGTTTGGTGACTGGGGAGAGATCGTTGATGGCCTTAGATGTGAGCTTGTTGGCACAGATGCTAAAAGGTTACGAGGAAGGGGAGCAGAAAAGAGAGCTCGTCACCAGGGACTTGCTAGGCGGTGGCGGGGCAGTGCTGCGATCCGCCGAGGTGGATCTCGAGCTCAGAGTCCCAGCCGGTTGGGAGAGGCGGCTTGATCTATTGGTAGATTTCTCAAGCCCATCAATTGTCTTCTTTTCTCTTCCAAATCAGTTACTCGTTTGAATTTGAATTATTAAAGTTCTTTCTCTTGAAAATATTGAACTTCTATGTGGATTAGTTGTTTGTTTAGAGTATCCACAAAAAAATGGTAGGTTTTTCATTTTTAATCATCTCGCAGTCTTGATTTGGGTATTATGAAGAATCTCATTGTTTCTTCCATAAATCCTTTGTATAATTAAACATGAGCCAACTAACATAGGATTCTCCTTAATTCAGAGATCAAAGACCACAAACAAAGAATTCTTGTTCTTCGATCCGATCGTTGTAGATTAGTCCTCCGTATCTGCAACCTAATTATCTGTGCGACTCCATGTCAACCTAATCTTCTTATTTGATTCGATTTATCTATATTTATAAAAGAAATTTTCTTCTTGCAAACACCTAGGGTTTTACACAACGAAAAAGAAAGAAAGAAAGAAAGAAAATCTTTTCCCCTAATAATTCACACAATAAATCTTGTAAATTGTTGTTGTTTTTTTTATTATAAGTCCATTATACTTCCTGTCAAGAAAATTTGTGTTCCGAGCTATTCTTCTTTGTCATCCGACCCTAAATTCTCGATTCAATTGCAGTCGGGAAGGACGTACCTCCAGAAGCGCCACCATGATCCGGTGCCTATTCATCGCCACGACCCCAACCTCACACTCCCTCCGCGATCCTCCGCCACCCTCTTTCTGAAGCAGTGGGCGGCGGCGACACCCTTGGGTCACCGCAGCGTGTGCACCCTAGAGAAGGTGAAGTCCGCCCTCGAGCGCGCCGGCCGCGAAGAGCGGCCCCCTGCTGCCCGCCTCCCCGACAGCTCCCCGTCGCCGCCCTCCCGGTCGGTAGCCACCTCCTCCTCCTCCATGGCGGCCGACCGGGGCGTGGACGGCCGCGGCCCCGAGTCGCCGCCCGCGGCTATGGCGGTCGCCGGGTGCCCGGTCTGCCTCCTCTACGTGTTCGTCTCGGTGGTGGACCCGAGGTGCCCGAGGTGTGCCGCGCACGTGCCGGTCCAGACCGAGCCGAAGAAGCGACCCAAGTTTGACCTCAACTCCCCAACCCAAATCCTTGATGGAGTCGATGACCTGAATTAATACATATATGTGTATATATATAGTACATACAAACCATATTAATAATTATTATTATTATTATAATATATAGATTTAGATTCTAAATTCGATAGGAGGGCGTTAAGATTTTTGGCATTCGAGATCGTATACCTTTTGCACCGTATAAATTGTTCTCCGTGTTTAACTTACTGTATTGTATGATAAAACATAGTGTAAGAAAATATTTAAATCACTTGTATATGATTTTTATCCTTTGAGTTGGAATGCCTTTTCTTTTTGGCGTGATATAAGTTATAATCTTACACTTAATCTCGCAGTTGTTCCCTGCAAAATTTCTCACTAGTAAGAGCCCAAACTTTCAACATCTGAGAGTACTGTGACACTGTCTGTCGGTATATTGTGGCCAGGGCTCATCGGAGTTGGTATATGGTGTTTGTTTCAATGTTCCCTTGCTGCTGATGACATCGGAAACTGGATGCTCATCATCACCGGTCAGTCTCCTTTCTTCGTTTTAGCAGTGAGATGGAGTCACTCATCATCTCCACTGTTGTACGTGATAGAGTTGCCAAATCTTATAGTTAAATGGATTGATGTTGTCATTGTCAATCCAGTCCGACTGTAGTTTGAGGTTGCAATTCTCCGGTTACTTCAACTTGAAAAACGTCAACTCCTTGTTTCTCTAGCTCGGAACGCATTGGCTTTTCAGATGTAACCTGCATGTTTATCGGCCTTTGTTTGGTGTTCTTGCCTCTGGTTTGGTTAATCCTGTGAGATATGAACGCCTGTGGAACGTGAGAAGTTGGTGCTAATCAACTCCCACGACAAGGTCTCCATTGCGACCTCAGATGTGGATGCTGGAACTTTGGGAATCAAGAACGCAGCCAACAGGGACCTGCTGGTGGTCTCTTCTCGGTGGAGTAGCAAAAAAGTGGAGAGGTAAAACTTTGACCTTCTTATGTTAGGAGGAGTTTCTCGTATAAAGTGATCGACGATCGAATGCAGTTTTGGCGGTGGCCATAGCTACAGATTCCGGAAGCTCATCCGCTGGATGATGCACCTCAAACATGAATCCTTCCATCTGCTTTCACATCTCAGGCACGTGTTGGCACCTCCACGGTCAGTCTCTGAATTTAAATTAAGAGAGGAGGGGGAATGAATGCTGACGAACACAGAACGGGAGTGGACATCCTTGACGCCGACCGACGAAGATGTTGACCCGTGCCGACGTCGATGAATCTTATCCACACGAGGTCAGAAGCATGGGTGATCTCACGACGTCGTTCTGCCGACTCACCCGGTCGAGAATATTATGTTCAGCGTAGATTTTTAGGTCCTTAATCATACACCAGGAATCCAGTTTTATGTATTAGAACATGGGTACTTGACGACCGTACACACGAGCTTTTCATACAGCAAGAAAGGAAGCGGGAGGCGGAAAGGTTGATGGTGCTGAATCATGTCAGCTCGACCACCTTGGGTGTGTATTCTCCGTGGTCTCGTTCACCCTTTAAATCGTCCCATCTGTAGCTCGTTGGAGATGACAGTGATTAATCGATGCATTTGCTATCAGAGTCAGATCGGCATATGATGAATGCGTTGAATGTCAAAACTTGCGGATAAAACGTCTCCATATATATCGCCGTCGATGAGATCGATCGAAGATTTCGACGTGAATATGATTACAACGGACAATTTAATGTCAATCAATCGAGAACAGCACGTCTAAGCAACCTAACTCTTCTTGGCCACTAAAGAAGAATCACTAGCTCTTTCGTAGGGTTCTTCGATCAGAGAGCTTTTTTAGTTTCTTGAGATATTTTTGATAAAGAACTCAAATCGATCTCCATGCAGAAAGAGAGATTCATTCCATGATCACATCAGTGAGAAGCACAAGTATGTTGCTCGTTTGGCCTTCGATGCCTCCCTCGCTTAACTGCTACTTAAAGAACGTATTTGCTAGAGAGGAAGTAAGTATGTACACCCGAGGAAGCTAGACACATCGTCCCAACCAGTGCTACAAGGAAACCCTTGCATCTTTTGCTCTCGCATTCCTCTGTCGCCTACCTGGTTTTGGAGATCACGTCGATGATTCGTCGGAAACGATCGACGTCGCATGGGATCCTCAGCACCCCCTGCTGATGATGCCCCAACTGCTGCGCGCTCAAGTCGAGCAGCGCCGCCATGCACGGATCCCTGAAGAGCCTCACGTTCACCACAAACCTCTGCACCGGTCCATCGTCTTCTCCCACGAGCACTGGGACATGACCTCGCGGGACTTTGTCCTCCACGCACTCGTCCCGGGCTCCGGCTAACCGCTCGTACGCTGCGGCGGCATCCTTCTCTTTCCTTCTCCAAAACATTCTTCCCCGCTGTCTTAAGAACTTGATGCAACTGGAACTCAAGTTCTCGAGCTTGGAGCGTGGCCTTAATACAACCCATGATCAAATAGCAATAGATATTATATATAGAAAGAGAGAGCATAAGGAGAGGGAGAGGAAGACCGCTGTTCGTTGACCACATCGGTAGGTATCGTTGTCATGGTCTTCTTTGCACCGCAATTGTTTTCTGATCTGCAGCTCGAGTCAGAACACATCGATTATAAAGTAACTGGTCTGCTATTGCAGTATTAAACTTCTTGCTCGGAGTCCACTACTGTTGGAACATGCTGTCAAAGATTTGCGAACAGTCACCATCAAGCTTTGAATTGTTCGACGGCAGGTGACAAGGCAAAGAATATTATTGTATTCCTCTGGGCTAACTTTACGTAGTATTAGTCTTTCCGAAGGATTCCATGATCACGTGAAGCAAAAGAATAAGATGGTATTTTGACGAGCGTTGTCGTTGGTTTTGTGTTTTGAGCGAAGCTTTCCGCTTTCTCCTACTTGCATCATAATTCAAATCCATCATCACTTTAGCATTCTTTTCACTGAAGGAATCGAGATGAGTTGTCTGACCTCATAATCTTATGAATGATGTGTAAGTTGGATGGTGGAAGATTGTTGAGATCCATCACCACAACCTGTGTGTGTGTGTGTGTTTATAGATATGTATGGTCATCTGAAGGTCTTTTATATATACGTGTTCTCGAAAGAAGATGACTGTAGATTTTATGGATCGAACAGAGGCTTTGGTGGAGGTTCATCTGATCCAAAAGGTTCAGAGATGCCCGATGTCATGAGAGATTGACGTTTGTGGGCATCAACCGCTGCCATCAACCGCAAGAAATCTACTCATCGTTGAAATCTCTTACTGCAATTTCCACAGAAGTCGATCCAAGCAAGGAGAAACAGGCAAAAGAAAGCGGAAACCCGATCGGAAAAGGCATAAAGAATGTCACGGTCATGAATTAATAAGTTATGTATTCATCACTGTGAATGAAGCAGATGATCCCACCCTACTCATTCTATCGAATACTCTTCACTGAGAAACTTCCACAAGATGTAGAGTCAAATTTCTGGTGCTGTGGTTTTTGGTTTCATGATGTTCTTTCCGGTGGATTTTGAATGTTATTAGGAACCTTAGCTAACATGCATGTCAGGTTACGAGAGTCATTTATTTCGGTGTCGCACTCAAGATGTTGACTTTGAATGCTATTAGGAACAAAAAGTCACCAAAGGAAGGGATACAAAGAAAAGGACGATATTCCTATGGGCTCAGCCAGCACCAACAATAAACCCACCTTGTAAGAAATCTTGATGCTGCAGTACTGTTGTTTGTGGACCCTCGAGATATGGATATCACTTGTATGTTTATCTGCGATGGAGAATCTCTCTGGAGTGTTGGCTTCTTCAAAAAGAGTAAGAAATAAGAAATAAGCACATCTCTTTCTTCCAAAAAAAAAAAAAAAATAGAGTTTATCTTTTGATGAGACTTATGGCCGTGTCATATTATATTGCATTTGATAAAAATAATAGAAGATAAAGAGTAATTATTAAAGAAGTTTTATTGAAGAAATGAAAATGCTTAAATACATTAGCATGTCCCTCTCTTATTTATACAGATTAGGAGTAAGAATTTCTCTTAACAAAATGGAGGATTTTTTCCTTAAGTCCGTCCTTCGTTCTCCTTATCCGTCGACTGTTGGCAGATCAACGAAGACTATCGTGGTGAGGAAGATGAGAATTGACCGTAGAGCCTCTTAGGAATTTGGTTGTAACGGCGTTGATCGCTGACGGAAGGTAAAGGTGAAGCTTTGTTTTTCTCAGCGGCATTGATCGTTGGCGGAAGGCAAGGGCGAAGCTTTGCTTTTCTCAACGACGTTGGTCGCTGGTCGAAGACAAAAGCGGAGCTTCGCTTTTCTCACTGCTCTGTACGTACACTTCATCAGAACTGCAACATTGAATTTGAGAAATTAAGATAGCTGTTCTTCTGCCTTATTCCAGTTAAATAGCTGCATGCTTCTGCCTACGAAAACCTGCTCTGGGATATATCTGAGATAGAGGAAGTCTTATTTTATTGCTTTCCATTAGTTTGAAGCACAGAATGGATTGCTCAAACAACTGTGCCAACTTTCTAAAATCTATTATGTCGTTGCAGCAGTTGAGGATTTGCATCATTAAATGAACTCGCATTCACTTGTTTACGTAGACTCAAACTTTGTCTCTATGAAGCTGTTCAAGATCTTATTCCATTCGACATGGTGATACTACCAGGAGATCATGAAATCTTAGGACTTGTGCCCACAGAACATACAGGTTATCTCTCTCTCTCTACGTATATATATATGTATATATATAGTTTTCGCTTGATTGTCGAACTTGAAGCTGAACATGATGAAAGATATGAGATCCAAATGTTCCTTCTTGCTCAGCTATAGTTACATTTGAAATGGACATTGCAAACTGCAGATCACCTGGCTTTGTCGATCGATCCGATCAGTCGTCGAAAATGATCGACGTCGCATTGGATTCTTAGGATCCCCTGGTGACGGTAACCAAACTCCTGAGCGCTCATGTCAAGCAACGTCGCCATCCATGGATCCTGGAAGAGCCTCAGGGGCACCACAAACCTCTCCACTGCTCCGTCGATATTCATCCCGACGAG